ATAACAACAAATCTTATTTGAATCAAACTGAATTTCACTCAGAAAAACTCACAAACCTTGGCCTGTAGATTGAGGCCAGATGCTACACACATGCTCGAACATCTTGTCTCACATGTTACATCTTCACCAAAAATACATCTTGTACTATCCATATTGTTTTTCCTAAAGCATCCAACCAAAGGAACTACAATATTTTTCTTTTTTTTCCCTGTATGCATCTCAACTCTTATCTCAACTCTTGTATAAGTTAATGACGGACAAATTGGTGGTCCTCTTCTCCTTTATCGAACAAACCAAAAATAGCTCGAAAACCACATTTGTCATCACCTTTAACATTTACAATCCGCTCAATGTATTTTTGCATAAAAAGCAAAATCTCTTTAATGAAGATGATTTATGGTAACGGTGGTGGTGGAGATGGTTTGCTAATGCGAGCAACCTTGAAAACACTTATTTGAGATTTTGGAGTTGGAGAATTCATATAATATGAGTCAACATATTCAAAGTATGAAGGAGACCGTCTCGTAGAGTTGTCACTATGTGTCGATTTGACCTTTTTTTGGGCACCATTTATTTTAACTGATTCTGATGATGGTCTCAAATATGTTATTTCTAGATAGAAAAAATTCCTCAACTGCTCTTTGATGTGCAATTTCATGATGTCATCAACTTTCAAAAATCTCTCTTGGATTACTTCTTGTTCGGTCATAATAGTTATACTTGATTTATCATCCTTCATCATCAAAGCAAAGTCTTTTCCATTGAGTATAAACTTCATCCATACATATCGGTTTATCAAGCTGCATCTTATTTGAAATTAAACAAGCACATGGAAGGTTGTATGTCTTCCTAAGTGCACAACCATATTTAGAGCTATTTGAACCTGTTTTACCTGCTCTCTTGGCTTCGTGAAAAATAAAATACAATCCCGTCTGAGATATGTTTCCAACCAACTGTGAATAAAGGATGTTATCTTTGAATCAGTGTTCTAATACAGTAAGACTCATAACAAAAGATGTTTGTATCTCAATATGTTGGATTCAAAGCACTTGGTTCGTGAACAATAAACTATTGTTTATTTGTAAATTGTTCACAAACATCTATCTCGACAATAATCAGTTTAGCACTCGGTTTAACATTAACTTTCACTTCATCCAGTTTAACATTATTCTTCACTTCGTCTAGTTTAACATCCACTATCACAGTAACTTTGGGAAATATATTCAGGTCACCACATCTAACATCAATCATAGCAGAAAAATATATTTAAAACTCAAAGTATCAGGCAAATCTAGAGATGCATCTCTGGAACACAAGAATCTTATTCCGGAGATGCATATTCAGACTCAACGTTCATATTTTCAACTCAAACAACACATTAATTTAAGGAATGAAGGATGAAATGAATGAATTTTACCTGAAATTTCAGCTTATTTTACTCCCTTTGATGTGATAAAATACAATATCAATGTTTTGGTGTTAAGAAGTTGATTGAGAATTAAAGAATTTTTTTAAAGGTTTTTGAAGGTGAGGCTCCCTTTGATCATGAGGGAGAAGAACATGCAAGATGGTGTTTTATCCAGTTTCCCGCTTGACATTTCTAGATATGCATCTCTAAAAATATCACTAAGTCTTTAAATAAAATAACTCAGTGAATAAAAACACTATAAATGAGTAGATGGGGGTGTTACGGAGATGCATCCTTGGATACACCCCATTTAATATTTGGAGATGCATCTTCAGACCAAATTTTAATAAAAATGGGGTGCGTGATTGAATTACGAATGACTATTATGGTTTTAGGTGTGTCCGAAGATTCATTTCCGGACATAATAATAACATTTTTGAATTTTCAGATGAGTGGAGCACACACCAGGGTGAAGTGAGTATTCCCCTTCTTTTGAGAAGTTGATTGAAAATATATATATATATATATATATATATATATATATATATATATATATATATATATATATATATATATATATATATATATATATATATATATATATATATATATATATATATATATATATATATATATATATATATATATATATATATAATAGGGTGAACTCCGTCGTCCCATCTAATGAATCGGTAAGATTTTTAATTTTAATAGAATCTTTTGTATTCACAAGTTATGTCGTTCCCATCACTTTTCGATTTAAGGTTAAGTATAAATTCTACAATGAAGCCTCTTTAATAAGATTTATTTATTTTTGAATTTTTATTTTATTTTATTAATTTTTGTTGAATCAACCTTTTTAGTTTTCGTGATGCGTGGCTTTTGACTCGTTTATTCTAGGAATATATTCAACCATATATGGCTAATTTTAAATTTTGATGCTTTATTACACTACTTTTTATGAGATGGTCCATAGACCATTACATTACAATAATAATCCAATTTTATTTTTTATTTAGTTACTATAATTATATCACCACATAAATTCTTATTTTAATTTTAGATTTTTGACCGTTCTTTCCATCCAAATAATGAAAAACGATGTGTAGGTTATTTATTGTAATTAGTTCTATAAATTTTTATAGAAATTTAACTATTTAAAAAAACAACGAGTCACATATTAAGCATAACAAATCTTTCACTATAAAATAATTAATTTTTTATTTAATCTTATAAAAATTTTCATTTCTTCTTTGAGAAAATAATATAGTAAAAATTCGTCATTTATTGTTATCAAAATATGAAACGTTATAAAAAAAAGTTTATTAGTCGTTATTTGGAAATATCTAAATTTTGAATCCAAATACCTCATTAATAGTTTGAACTGGATAGAAAAAATTATCAATTTTAGCTCGAATGGTTTATAGAGAAACCATACCTTCTCTAATCTATTCGACACGTGCAATCTATTTTCCGCCAATACGTCTCACAATTTGTATTTGAACTCCTTTTGTACTTGTATGTTCATGTAATTCAATAGCTTTTTTCATTGCTTTACGAAACAAAATTTTATTCTATAATTGTCCGGCTATAAATTCTCCAAGAATATTATGGTCTCTATAATCATTTGGAATTTTTGTAAATCAAATGCTAATTTTTCGGTTTACACAATTAAGCTGTTTTTTTCACATTAGTTTGTAATTCTTCAATTCTTCGAGGCTTATCCTCTTCTATTAATAAGTTTGGAAGTCCAATATGGATTATAATTTGAATCAAATCGATTCTTTTTTATCTTTATTCTTTCAATTCCCTCTACATCAACAATAGTCTTACTGTTTTTTGTGTATAACTCTTGATGGAATATTGTATTATTTTATATTCTTTTAGATTCTCAGAATAAATTCTTGGTTGAACAAACCAAATAGAATCATGACTTTGAATTGTACCAAGTCTAAAAGCAAGCAGATGTATTTTTTGTCTCATAATTTCTCACTACTCTATATAAAATGATATGTTTTATTTGTCTACTTTTTTATCTAGCTTCTCCATACCATACTAGTGCACGTCGAACCCATGCAAAGTGTTTGGTTAAGATATGTCAAATTTCACCAAGTATATAAATAGAATCCAACCATACATGTCCCATAATTATATCTTTTAAATTGCCCATAATAATCGTCCAACATTCTCTCCCAAAAGACAATTTTAGTAAATAACCTGATATAACGCACTCCACAAAAACATAGGTTTTATCATAACCCGCTCAATTTTTAAATTATTATTAATTATCATTTATGTTTTTTGTTGTGAATAGACACAAATATTTTTTTAACAAAGGGTTATATTTTTGTATTTTAGTTTTATTTAAAAAAAAATCCGTTTTATTGATAGCAAAATAATACAATTCTTTTTGAGTAATTTCTTAATTAATATTTATTGATGACTATTACTAAATGTATGTTAAAATGAATGTTAACGAGGAGGTTTATTATTATTTTTCACAAAACCTCAAAAGTTTATAGTAGGTTAAAATTCTCTCAATTTATGATCTACCATACGACTCGTTATATTAATAAATAAATGTTCATAGCTATAATGGTAGATGTTTTGGACCAAATTATTATTATTTCGTGTTAAGCTTTTTTATTTAAAAGGATTTTTTTTTTTGCATCATTAATTATTCCACTTAGTAAATTGTTCTTTTGTTGTAAAAGACGAAGAAACAAATTTTATTTTCTCTAGTGTCCACTATTTACTATGGCGATGAAGAATCAAATTATCATTATATTTAGGTTATGTTTTATATGATATTTTTTGAGCTTATAACTTATAAACTCATGTGACAATAAAAAATCTGTATGATATCCATCTTTTCATCACGAATTTATAGTTTATTTTACTAGCTTAATAGCATTTTAGCTTCTAACTTATAACTTATCATTTGTTCTTCTATTTTTATTCTTAATATTTTAACTAAAATTCACTTTTACCCTTCACTTGAACGATTAAATTTACCGAATACTTCAATTAACTTATTATCAGCTATAAATTATCAGCCATCATCTATAAACTATAAGCTATCAGTCATCAACCATAAACTATAAAATATAAACTATCAATTATCAACCATAAACTATCAACTAATTTTTCAATCAACCCTTTATTTTTTTTTACCAAAGAGAGTCTTATTCCCTTTTCTAGTTCTTCTTCCAATTGCAAGATTGAAGTTTTTTTTTTCCAACCAATTGATGCCCTTCACATGTTAATATTCCTCATTTCATTAACTTCCTTGTGAACTTCCCAAAGTGTGACTACTTCTTTTGTTAAATCCATTGTTCAAAAATTAGGCATGCTTTTGATTTTTTTGTCAAGTCATCTTTTGTTCAATTCAATGTTTTTAAGTTTTAAAAAACTTCATTTGTACAGAAGAGAAATCAGTGAACAAATAAGAGGCCAAAAAATAGTGATTCTGTTATATTGCCCTTTGTCATTCAAAATCATGAGTACAAACTTGTATAGACTGGTTAACAAATTCAAAATATGGACATTACTATTGCAAAAATGGAGACATATGAGACTAATCAATTTATGATCACAATCTAGATTTCTTGGAGGATAATGGTGATGGTGAGAGTGGTGAGAACACTGACGATGGTGGATCGCATGAATGACGCATTGGTGAGAATGTGGCCGATAGAGATGGAGTACAATCTTCTGATGATCGTCTTCTTTTTAAAGAACTTTTCTCACCATCCTTCACTTGACCTCTCATTACAAAATCTTTCAAGCGTCTTACATCCGACAACTTGACTGGCTTCAATAGAAAATCCTCGGCTCCTTCCTCAAGGCAACTGCGAATCAGTGAAAATAAATATTAAGAAGCAGGGCTAGAAAATGTTTGCCACATAACAGTAAAGAAGCTTAATGCATCCTAGTTATTCACAGTAGCAGTCACAAGAGCATAAGTTTCAGCAAGAGTGCAAGATCACATACTAAAAACTCATAAGCATACGACGTCTCATCTTTAGGCAAAAAATTGGACATTACTACCAAACAATAGATCACATTCTAAAAATGTACAAATTGTGATTGTTCTCCACATGTTTTCATATTTAAAATTTGTTTTATCGTTTTTTACACTATCAAAAACATTTTTCTCTATGTAGATCCTTGAGACGCAGGAGCAATCGATCGAACATCATCAAACTTTACGTCATTTTTTATTGCTTTTTGCAAAGAATTCTATAAGATTTAGGCTATGTTTTATCATGGGAAGGGGAGAACAATAATGAATTTTTCAAAGATTTAGGATATGTTTTATCATGGGAAGGGGAGAACTTAATAATGAGTTTTTCGCTTAAGAAAATTAGAGCTTATTTACATCCAGTGAAGCCTGCATCTCTACAATCAATTAATCTATTCTTAGGAAGTTCAACAGTTAACAAGTAACACAATAAAAAAAACACAATCCAAAGTCAAATCAGACTAGAATCAAAAGGCGCATATTTCATTCAAGTGTTTACCTATCAATTCGAGTCAAAACATTTTCGGACGACATGATCACCACCGGAATCTCTCTAAAAACAGAAGACTCCTGCTGAAATTAACACAAACAGGTAGAGAGTAGTAAGAATCGTCTTCCTCCAATATACAATTTCAAAAAAAAATTCACATAAACAGAATTCCATGATCAACAATTCAAATCATAAAACTCAACAACCTATAACAATACCTTGATTTTCTTGAGTAGTTCATATCCTGTCATCCCAGGCATGGAATAATCTGTCATTATCAGATTAACCTTCACACCCTGCAGCCATAACAAATCAACAATCAAATCCAATTTCCAATTTCCAAAACACAATTCAAAATCAAAAGTAGAATCTACTTACATCAAAACCTATATCAGTATTCTCTCCATCCAATCCCAAATACTGAAGAGCTCGTCTTGCACTTTCCACAACAGTAACTGAAAAAACAAACCTTCAGAATCAATTCCAATCCAAACAAAATTCACAAACACATGAAATTCTTCTCAATGATTCGTTATTATTAATCCATTACCTTTGCATGAAGAAATCTTTAACAAACGTTCAATAACCTTGCGATCAACAAGGTTATCATCAACAGCAAGGACGTGCAATTCATCAGCACCGGAAGAAGATTCCTCTAACAATTCCGACAAGTTCGACCGGAAAATTTCACCGGCGGGAGGCATGATATAGAAAACGGTTGGTGGTTGAAACGCAAGTGTTGTGTTTTGTGAGTGAAAATGGAAAATGAAGAAGTGGGGGTTTTAATTTAAGAAAGAGAAGAGTGCTAATAATAGTAAAAAAACGTAGAAAATAAAAGTAAACTGATTTGTGGGGCTGAATTGAAAATGAAAAGGCAGAAAAGGGTAAAGAAAATTAATAAAGGTCTAAGATTCGGAGGATCCAAATCTATGAAATCTTTGCAAAATCTACTCTACTAGGTCCACTTGTCGCTTCTCCTGTCAAAATCCAAATCCATAACAAAATCTTTATTTTTCTTATATCTATTTATTTCAATTTATTTTATGTTCTTATCTTGCAACCCACCAATAGGTTCCAAAAAAAACTATTTTGAATTTGTTCACGGCAATAAGAACTCTAATGTAAAGAAGAAAGAAATCTAAGATGAAAGTTTTAATTGATGCGTATTTCTAAATTTACTAATGTATATGAATTATACATTAATTTTTCAATGGTGCTAAAAGATACTAATTATTTTCTTAATATTAAAGATTATAGGGAATAGTAACTATAGTACTATTAAATAAATATGAATAGTAAGGTTGGTCACGGTGAGAGGAGGCCAAACGTATATTTGGGGTCAGATACTCTGTGATGTTGCCGCGGGTTAAGAATGCTGGAATTTGACTGGGCATTGTGTAGGACACTAGTTTTGAAGTTGAATGATTCTAGAGTCTAAACCACACAAATATTAAAGGTTTACCAACAACCCTTTTTTTGCTTTCTTTGATTCTTCGTCATTGGTTTCTGAGTGGGACACAATCTTTACTGTTGGGATTGGAATTATTAGGACGGCTAAATTGAAAGGAAAAAAAATAAGATTTGGAGAAACTTTGAGAATGCTTATGATTTTACATTGACAATTTGACATCTTTTATGTTGAATTTTGGTATTTCATGGTATTGGACTCGTTTTCTGAGCCACGCAGTCGTAGAGGATCTTTGTGGGACCCATCAAAAGAGATTGTAATAAGAAATGGTAGTACTAGTCAGCTAAAAATTAAACTCATGGTCGGCTACTATTTTAATAAGTAAAAGACTGGAGTATTGATAATTTAATTTTGTTATATTTGGTTGAAATTGAATGGAACCAACTAAGAAAATAATAGAGAGCACGGTGTTCTCTTCCTCGAGAAATAATCACACGTTCACACCAATTATGAAATTTGAAAATCACGTGATTTACACATAGATATTGTACAAAAACAAGTTGATCGTGGTGAGAAAGAAATTGCTCAAAAGCTTGTACAAATTGAACATGAGAATGGAAATTGATTGTTTACCAAAAATTTATCTGGACGAGAAAGCTTTCTAAGAAATGTGTTCAACATGGAGCAATGTGATAGTGGTGAAATTACTTGGAAAAACACTAGGATATAAGATAACAACCATATAGTTTTCACGCGAAATTTTAAATTAAATATTTTAATATAATAAAATTATTATTATTTTATATTAATATATTTTAATTTTAGATTTTTTATGACGTAAAATTATTAAATTATTTTAATTAATTTTATTTAATGTTTTCTTTTCAATTGATAGTAAAATTATTACATTTAAATACTCTTTCTATCCTTTAAAAAAATCATAATTGAAAAAATATTATCAAAATTTAGAAAAGAACATAAATTTCAAGTATTCTTTTATGTAAGAGAAATTAAAAGTTTATTATTTATAAGTATGATTTTTATCATGATTTTTTAAGACGTGCAAAACTGTCTATCACACAGACCCCAGTAATTTTTACAGTTAAGTTGTGGTTAAAAGAATCTAAAAAATATTGATTATGATTATACAAGAATAAAATAGAGCCTCTATTTCTTTTTCACAGTAAAACTTTGATAAACCTACACAAAACCTCTAAAATTTTAAGACAGTGTTAATTTTTAAATTAATCAATTATATAATACACATTTTAAATAATCGTTATTATTATAAATTTTTAATAGATATTATTATTTAATTAGCATATAAAAAAATTTAAAAATTATTTTTTTATAAGTCAATTAATTAGAAGGATATAAAAAAAATAAGGCCCTAGGCAGTAGCCTTTGTGACCTACCCCTAGAGCAGGCAAGCTCTAGATAATGATGTAGAGACTCTAAAAAATTAGAAACTCACCGAAGAATTCCATATTCGTGATAATGACAATGAATTCTTTATATTAAAGTTTAATCTAGTGGAAGGAGTCATGGATATTTTTTTTGTCATTACTTGGCAGTGTTTTATTGGAGCCTAGAGTTCATACCTAAAGCAAAAATAGAAAGAACTCTAGTATGGATTTGGTTTCTTGATTTGAACTTAGTGTATTACGATAAAAGTTTCTTTCTTACAAATATAATGACAGTAGAAAACCCAATTAAAGTTGATTCTACAACACTAAATGTAGAGAAAGGAAGATTTTCATGTATTTGTGTTTAGATCGATATGAATGAACTTATGGTAGGAAAGGTGTGGAAGAATGGATATTGGTACAAAGTTGTTTATGAAGAGTATCATATCATATACTATATAAGGAATTGCACCTTCTACAAGGAATCATAGGTGCAAAAGGCTATGACTCCAACTGAGACAATTAAAATCAATGAAGACGCAACAGTTAATGCATTAACGCCATTAGTGGAGAGAATTAATATTGTTGACTGATATGACAGTCATGTTGGGCAATGGTGAACCATTAAACTAGAAAGGAAATGATGGAAAAGCAAAAAAGTGCAAACAAATTGATCTTCATGAGGATTTGCTTATTGTTATTATGGAGTTATGTGCTTGTAAGTACAATCATCTGCAGATGATCTTCGGTGGTTTCGATGCTGACAACACCTAATGTAAAACGGCGTTTGGTGGAGTTGGTGAAGATCTCTGGTCATGCAACCTCTAGTATTAGTGTCTATCAAAGAAGTCATATCAAGTATCATCAGATAAGTTAAGTATTATATGAAGTGTTGAATAAGTCAAGTCTCAGATGAAGTGTTATATAAGTCAAGTTCCAGATGAAGTGTTGAATAAATCAAGTTCTAGATGAAATGTTGAATTAATGGTGAATTTAGCAAGGGGTCTTGAAGTTTAAAGGTTGTGCTCGCCTAATCACATACTTGAGTGATTAGGGTATTATAAAAGTATAATAGTATCTCATAAGATATTAAAAGCACATTCAATGGAGGTTTCTTAGTGCCTATGTGGAGGCCTTAGTTTTGTCCCTTAAGTTTTTAACCTTTGGAAGAGATCCTATTGCTTAAATATTGGTGTTAGTTTCCTACTAAAGAAACAAAAAAAGTAGGTTTTTTGTAATTAAAAAATAATAAAACATGCTCAATATCATGAAAAAGGAAGGGAAAACCCAAAAATCAGTGTATGTAAGGTCATTTAATGGACTCAATTTAAGGGATTAAGCATTGGAGTAAAATTAATTTTGATTTCTAAAATATGATGTGTCACATGGGATCAATTAAAATATTTTAAGAGACCAATTTAAATAATGATGCATTGGAGATGCCCTAAGACAACTCTCCCACACATAATAAAATGTCTTTTAAGACTCTACACTTTTATAAAATCTTCAGAAAATATTTTATGCAAGTAATTAGTTGGTTACTAGTTTGAATGAATTTTGATGAGTATAATTTACACTATATAATCGATTAACACATTAGGATTAATCGATTATCTCTTTTGTAATGCCTCTTAAATGATTACTTAGCCTTTTAATCAATTAGAGACATCAAATTTTAAAATTTTCCACATTTGAAATACATAATCAATTGTTTATCCAGTTCGGTGAAATCACACCTACGTCTGGGGGACTTAGCCCACAACCCAATAAAGGAAATTCAGTATTAGTAGCTTAGTATAATTAGACTTACAAGCAACAACAAACCCTATGTTGTTCAATTCATCTTCCTAACACTACCCAATGACTTTATATTTAAAGTCTCCCTCTAAACATAAGAACCTACTCACTTTCTTCTCTATCACAAAACTAGTGATAGGGGGAAAAACCACTAAACCCTAGTGATCAACTTCAATCTTCACAAGATGAAATAATGTTGAATATTATAACTCAAATATACAAACCTTCTATGACAAGTTACTGAAACATAGAAGTGTACATATAATGTTGAATTTACAACTCAACTAGACAAACTGTCTATGCCAAGTTACTGAAACATAGAGGTGTACATAAAAATAACAAGTACTCTTGTAAACCCTAACACTATAAGATCTTCAATTGGAATGCTTTCTTTCCAATGTTGGTATGAGCTATAACAAAATAACAATGGGTTTTTCTCCTTGGATAATATCTTTAATTTCGTCCAAAATTATTGCAGAATTTATTGGATATTTGATTTGTTCCTTGAATATCTCCAACAAGATATGATTTGTTTTAATTTAAATTCAAATTTAAATATTCATTTAAATCCAAATTAATCTTAATCTAGCTGTCAAACAAATCATCTAATTATATTATTAAATTAATAATAATAAAATCTTTAACAAATCTTCTCCAGAACATACTCCAAAGCGCAAGAGTCTGGCGCCTGTTGAGCAAGGCCCATATGTCATAACTACATGTTAGAGCATCACGCCTAGCATGTGTCCCTTTTGAAGTTCCATATAGCTTTAGCAAGCTAGACCAATCTTGAATACTTTGACACTTCTCTAAGTTGTTGTTTTGCTAAATGCAGCCAATCCAAAAGACAAATCCACTATGAATAACAATCTTCCCTTTTGGCAAATTATGGCGAAACAACTATTCAAGATACATAGAACTTCTTTAATCAGAATAAGTGACAACCAGTAGATGTGTTACATCTTTAGTGCAGCAGCAACTTCCATGTATTAGAGTTAAGCACCAGTAGCAGTAGAAGTCAGATGCATACACATAGTTCATTCAGTTGCTATAAACCAAACATACAATCATGCAATCATTCACAGACTTAGAC